ATTGTGGCCGCAATTAATAAAGCCGCAGCTCAAAAGGCAGTCCAATATTATCTGCATCTTGGCGCCACCCACATCAGCAGCAGCAGGGGCAGCAACGGGGGCAGCAGCAGCTACAACAGCAGCAATGAAAGCCGACAAAACGCCGCTTGACCTACAATTTGTCATGACAAGAGGCTGACACAGGTGAGGGCGAAAGGTTGCGGGGGTGGCCGAGCATATTGACGCCAACATGAGGCACGTGTGATTGGGTCAACTCAGGTGGCACCTTCAGCGGAAGCGTATCAAGTGCATGCCACACACACACACACGTGCGCGGGCGATTTGGTCTTATTTTTTTCGTTGTTTGTCGGTGGAGGAGGCGAGGACACAACTATGCCAAATGCTTTGGTTAATTAGAAATCAATTGAAACGATGCAACGTATAAGTAACAAGCTAGCAACAACAAAAATAACAAAAACAACTGCAGCTGCAGCAACAATCTGACGACCCAAATAAGCTGCCATTTGCCCCTCAGCGCCCCGCGGTGCCGACAACGTTCTCGTTGTCGTTGGGTGGCATGCAAACCAAACTGAGTGCAACGCAGCTAGAACCAGTTTCTCCGCGCCCCTACCACACAACAAACCCCTCCCGCTGCACACGCCCTCTATGCCGCTCACCTGTTTTATCGTTCATTCGCTGTGTCAACTTGGCTATCTTAAAAATGCTTAATTGCTCGACTTGCATAAAAATAAGAAGGCAAAAAAACATATTGATAGCCGCAAGCAGAGGCGGATCGGAACACCAGGCACCCAGCGAGAGCAACATCCCGATCATGGCCATGATGTTCCCTCAGCTGCCGCAGGTGCAAGATCACACCTCGAAGACTATCGCCGAGTTGTCATCGCACAGGCAGACAATTAATGATATTTTATGGTCTCAATTGATTGAATAATTTTATAGCCGGAGGATGTCATATAATAAATCAGGTTTATTTCTTGCTTGGAATCTTTTTTAGTACATTTGCTTGATTGTGTTTGGGGGAAAACTTTTGCTTAGATTTCCCAATTTTTCAACAAAAACATGAGCAGAGAAAAATAATAAACTGTGTTTTGTTTAAAAATACATGTTTTACTTATACTATTCATTATGCCATATATCTGTCTGGCGCTGGAATGGCCAAGTCTCTTGCCTACATTCACAACGAAGTTATTCACTTATTTCTCACCCGTTTTAGTGAATTTAAAAGTAAAGACGAGCAGTTGTGTGGGATTCATTAGCTTCGTTTCAGCATCTGCATGTACTTTTGCTAAAGGTTTAATCTTCTTAACGTTTATGTATATATATCTAACATTGTCTATTGATGCGTATACTATGATGGCAATCCCTTGTGCTCAGAATATTAGAAACTGTTTACAGCCAGAAATAATATAATGAATAGATTGAAAAGTAGTATACACTTATCTAAGCAAAAAATCTAGAATTTCTAGAAAATACCATAAGAGCTGATGTATGTACATATTTAAGAAAAGTAAATTTGACTATATATATTTGTTAAAAACAAAGTTCGATGCTATATATGAAGGGCGTGACTCTCAGCGATAGAGACTATGCGCAACTGCACACAATAGAATATGATTTTCGATCTTAAAGTTTGAAATTCGAAAGATCGATCTTTCGAATTGAAAGATCGGTCAAAACTTAGAATGAATTAATAACCTTATATCTTATGAAGATCTGTTTTCTACAATAGCTGAATATTTTATTATCATCTGTTGAACATGGTTTAATAGTTAGAATCGGTCGATAGATAAGTTTGTATGAGAAGCATTCTTGCTTTCCAAGATATATCCCCAAGCAGAGGAAAAGCAAGCCTCAAAACCTTTATGCAAGGGTATTTATTCCTGGCAGCTGATTTATGTTTTTTAAAGTTTGTGTAATTAGTCTATCTTTCTTGTCCCTTTTTTGTGCAACAATTGAACTGTCGTATTAATAATGTCAACAATAATAGTTGCAATAGTAATATTAATAATACATGAAACATTATGAATTGTTTTGCTATCGTATAGCAGGGGAGAATGCGAGTAATTTCTTTGTTATTGAATTGACGCAAGTGACACGGACACCCACACAAGCAGTCAGCTGCTCCCTTACCCCCCCCCCCCCCTCCCACACACACACACCCCCCACAAAAGCCTCTCGCCACGCCACATTTTAGTTTAGTTCAGGTTCCAGTCGAGATGTTGTTGTTGCCACTCATTGCACAATTTGTATGCATGTCACGTTCTGCGGCCTTTGAGTTCGACTTTGTCACCTGCCTGTCTGTCGTTCGTTGCACCCCGCCGCCGCGCACGCCCGCGCGCCCAGACACCTTGCGCCCCACCCTTCTACATAATGCACAAAAGACAAAAATCAATTAAAAGACAAAGTCGATTTAAATCTTTTGGCTTGTTTGGCGCCGCCGATCCGATCTGTTTCGATCAATAGCTCCACAGAGAAAAGCTGCAAATCGCAGTTGCCTTTCAAATTGGGATGCTGCATGTGGTATGTGGCATGTGGCTGGCACACCGGTGCGCCGGCAGTGTCAAGTTGCGCTGGGCTGCCGAGGAATTGGGCATGGGCGCAATGCACAGACAAAGCTGCATTTGGTGCATCAACGTGATAAAAACGTTGTTCTTGATGCCTCGTCGTGTTGCGTCGCTGCTAAACGTGCTGTTTTGTGTGAATTTGCAATGCGTGCAACAAAAACAACAACAACAGCAACAACAGCAGTAGCAGTTGAGGCGGCAGCAGCGGCAACAACAAGAATGCGGTCACAGTTCATTGAACCGCTAGAAACGTAATGCAAGTTGCTCATAATGATGCTGCAGCCAGATGATTATGATGTTAATGACGTGCCACATGTAAATGCACATGGCAAATGATAATAATGATGATGCAGACGACGATGCTGGGCTTTCAGTGGCAACTGGCACTTAGATAGGAGATATAAAGCACCTCCAGCGGCGCTAAAATCGAAGAGCAGTGCACTACAACGAAAGAGATTCAAGATTCTGTGTGTGTGTGTGTGTGTGTGTGTGCGTGGGTCTGTGGCGCTACAGCCAAATTCAATGCTAAAAGGGCAAGGAAACAAAAGGGATTGTGGCCTCTTGCGTACTTCATTGGACGCTTGGTACGGCACGAAGCACGAAGCGATCTACTACTGGTTATATAACACCTTGCCAATTATTCGCTACCTATAACAAGCTGCTGATAAGCCATTCTGTTTTAAGCCTATTGGCCAGATTTCGCCGACGGATTTTGACCGTCACCGAGGGCAACTAAATTCTTGAAGACATCGACCAACTACCCCAATCATATATCCAATTCAAACTTATTCCCAAGGCTGTCAAGCGGCTGGCCACACTGACTACCAAGAACAGTAGTCATTCGCTAATAATAACCCACAGCTATATGCATGCTTTTGAGCGCTTTGGAAAGGAGCATTTGAGGAATTTTATTAAATACAGTAAAAACTCAACTAATGATCAGCTAACTACGCATTTAGCCTGTCAATTTCTTATAGTACACATATTTTTCCATACAAATCTTTCAAAACTTTGTCCTACAAAAGGCTTTCAAATAATTTACACTGAAAGACTCACATAGAAATGATTTTAGTGCAAGATACTTTCATCAAGTGTCAACTGTAGCTGCAAGAGCTTTTTGTTGCTGGCCGCGAAATGTTTGTGAAAATTGCTTGGAAGAACAACAAGAAGCGAGAACCAAACAGAAAACAAACAAACACGTTTTGTTTCAGCAAGATCCAACGAAATGCGGGACCAATTGCAGACTTTAGCTTCAGTTGCGGTTGCTTCGACCCAGAGTTTTCGCTCCCTTTGATCTATTTTCGGCTGCGGAGACGCAGCTAATCGGCACTGGAAGCCACTGGAGCAGTATGCGAAACTCATCGCCAGACATTTAAAAATAACAAACAAAAATACAATCCCAGAAACATAACATAAAGGAACAGAGTTTGCTAAATATACATGTCTGCTGGCTATAGATTAAAAATAATAATAATATATATGTACACATGTTATACCTATCCCGAACATGATTATGACTGTATTTTTCCATGACAGCCTTGCGATATATGCATATGTTATTTTTGAAAATAATATATGTTATATAACGAAGGCTTCTGCAGTCGGTCCATTTACCAATGGAATACAGTGAAGCGTCCCTTGAGCAGACACCGACAGGAAATTATGAAACATAGACACAATGTTATTTAAGAAAATATATGTAAATATAATGTATTATTTTCAGTAAATTAGGCAGCTGAAATTTTAAAATGTAATTGTAGTAAAAAGGTCCTCGAACCGAGGCAGGAAGTTGGTTAGATCATTTTTTTTTTTTTTTGGACGTGCAGCCCTGAAAGCTCCAATAAGAAAAACTCTCCCAACTGTTGTCAATCGCATTCAAAATTTTAATTGAAGTTCAAAAACTGATCTACTTTGCTATCAAATACAATTCGGACGGAGCCTGTACCAATATTCTCAATCTGATCTATATAGTTCATTATAGTTGATCAGGAAACTTCTTGAAAAGGGAGAATTTGTGAGCAAAAAAAAAAGCGTTGATCGAAAATCGAAAGAGAAGCTGCCCCCTGTTTGAGTATTTATGTAACCCTATGTACTTTAAAGCTCTTTTTGTCCGCAGCAGAGATCCATGGCTGGGAAGTGTTTGGAGAAGAGACCCCCAAAACAAAATGTTAATCCCTGCTAATCAAGCTCAACGTCTGTGTCACCTGTTGGTTGGTGTGTTGGGGTGGGGTAGGGGGTTGGGGAAGTGGCTGGATGCGGGGAAAGAGAGAAGAGAAAGTGAATGGGGCGTGTATATTGAATAAGAATATTAATGATAAGACCCTTATCAAAGCAACAGAATGAAAAGCCCAAACAAACGGCGCAACAACAAATAGGGAAAAATACAATAAAAAAAAAAAACAGAAGAAAAATACAAACAAAATATTAGAAACTTACCCAAAAGCAAACGAAGACGCGTTGCAACGAAAGTTAACGACGTTTTTTTTTTTATTATTTTCTTTTTTAATTAAGTGCTGTTTTTCTTGTTGTTGTTGGCTTCTTGTTGGCTGGATTACGGTTAACGCCGCGCTGCAAGATGAAATGCGTATAAGAAGCGGAAAACGAAGAAGAAGCAGCTAAGTGACAAGAACGACAACCGCGCGTGCAGCAGTTAATGTTATCCTAATTTAAAGTTCTGGCATTTAATTAAACGCACACACACACACACACACACATGCACGCAGACAAGTCTCTGTGCGTGCGTGTGCGTGTGAGTGTGTGTGTGTGTTTGCGCTGGGAAAGGGGTTTGTTGCTGCAGGGCGGGCTGCAAAAGTTTGCGCTTGCGTCACGTCAACAGCGCCGTCTGCAACTCAAATCGAATTTTCCAAAAGGAAAAAAACAAAAAGAGGCAACAAAAAAATAGAAAAGAAAAATGAGAAGCAGAAACAAAAACAAAAAAAAAAAAAAAAAAAAAAACCGACACAGCAATAGAAGTGCCAGAAACCAAGAGGAAAACGAGTTAAGGCGCAGACAGCAAAAGACAATGCTGCCATCGCGTCGCAGCCGGCGTCGCAGTCGACGTCGCCGTTGCTGCCGTCACTTGCTGCAAGCAGGCAGATAAAAGCAGCCAAAGACGGCCAAAGCAACAACAAGAGCGCCAGCAGCAGCCGCCGCCTGTTGTTGTTGTTGTTGTTGCTGTTGTTGTTGCTTTATATTTTGTAAAAAGGTTTTGTTTACGCGCGACTTGTAAAATTGAATTGTAGTTTTTGATTTGGCCAGGCTTACGTTTTAATATGTTGACGCTTTTTTAGTTGCGCCCGCGCATCTTCCAAGCAAACAAAAAACAAACAACTCAAAAAACCAACAACAAAAATCCAAGGAGCACCGCAAACTTTACACCAGACACCAGAACCGTAAAAAAAAAAAACCAAAAACACTTTGCTCGCTGTGTGCTATACACTTGCGCCGATATATTACTTTCAAACTACTGCTTTCAAATAATTATTTTATGTTAATTATTTCTTGATTTTGTTAGTAGTTTATTTCTTAAGACAACAGTGGCAGCAGTTGTTGAACGACGCGACAACCGCGCGCAACGAAAACAAAATGAAGACTAACAACTAACGTTCGCAATGTGATTGCAAGCGCAACGCCCCAAAATACCAAATGTTGCAAGCACACTGAAAATATACCAAGCGCATATGGCGCTTGGTCTATAACAAAAAGCTGCAATATAAATATGCAAATAAATGTTTTTCTGTTAACTTTGTTAATATAATATTCATATTCTTATAAGATTAAAGCAAGCATATGATTTTAAATGAACAACTGTTATATCTAACCCACCAATTTGTACGGTCATACTGCTGTGCAGTGCTGCCAGACTGTTGCTCTTGCTTTTATGTTAACATATTATTCTGCATGTGCACAAAGCTAACACTAGCGGGCGCCACTGTGTATACTCGGTGGTTGTGCGCAAAACAAAAACAACGAAATTAATAACAAGAAGTAACAAATAATCAGAATGCCACGAAGCTTGAATACCCTAGCGGGTGAGCAAGTGAGTAAAACATAAAGTTTTTTTTAGCTTCAAAGATAATGTAGACATCGGGGAAAGAGTATTTTTAACGTGTGCAAAGCAAACGCAAATGTGGCACGCATAATTCAACACGCCAATTGATTTTCGTGAAGCTCGTTGCAAGCTGCATGACGTAGTCAACGTGTACAGGCCAGCTCTTAGAGTACAAACACTCTCGGTCGGTCAGCTGGGACGCTTTTTCGTATTGGTCTGTTTGCATTTGGCAAAAAGCTTTGCTCCGCTGTGTTGTCATCGTTATGTGCTGTGTGTACGCGTTGTTGTTGTTGCTAAAAAGCTTTTTCAACTAATAACTGCTGCGCTTAATTTTCCAATTGGTGAATCGAGTTGACATAGTTAAACCCGCAAACAGTTCCAATCAGAAACAGACAACAGTGACTGCTGCACTGCATCCGCCATGACAAGCAACTGATAAATCTCTCCATTCGACGGTTATAATCAAAGTTCGTGTGGCTCGAACGGCTGAAATGTCAACCGAAAGTAATACGCCCGTGGATCCGCGTGTCCAGGTATGCGCACAAATTTCATATATATGTACATGCATATATGTCCATATCCATAATATCTTCCATAATGCCAGATCGAGCTGGAGAAACTGAACACGGCCACCGACAATATCAACAAATATGAAGTGGAGCTCGATGTAAGTTGTTATTGATTTTTTTGCTCTCTCTTTCTCTCCGCTTGAATATCCACTTTATATAACCGTCCGTGCAGGAGGCCAAGTGCGAGTTCAAGCGTCTGCTGGCGGAGAGCGTGGTGCGCATCAAGGCCGCCGCCCACAAGCTGGGCAACTCAATTGACGCCGCCAAGCCCTACTACGAGTCGCGCATCTATGCCGCCCAGCTGACCAAGGAAACGCAGCTGGCGGCGGCCAATCATGAGAAGGCCAAGTCCATACACGCCGCCGCCAAGGAAATGGTTTATCTGGCCGAACAGGGTCTCGGCGAGAAGTCCACCTTGGACACTGCCTGCCAAGAGATGCTCAGCCATGCGGCCAGCAAAGTCAACCAATCCCAACTGGAAGTCACCGACACTCGCAACACCCTCAAGATGTGCCAGCTGAAGCTCGAGGTGGCCAACAATCGTGTGGGCAAGCTCCAGGGACAGCTCAAGCAGGCGCTGCGCGCCTCCAGGTATCTCGACTTGATCTCAAACACTTGCCCAAACTTTAATACCCACTGCATATCCTCGCAGAGCATGTGCGTTCCAATCGGAACACCCATTGCAAGTGTGTTCCAATTCGATTTTGGAAACTTTTTTATTCCGCTTAATAGGAACTATTTTAGATATATGAAATATTTACTTCGTTTTATTTGTTGATATTATTTATTATTAGGCAACTAAATAATTTTAGTCACATATTAACCGGAAAATTGGATACTTTAGATCATCAATAGAGTATTAGTATTATTATAATTATTATTATTATTATAATTATTATTATTATTATTATTATTATTATTATTATTATTATTATTATTATTATTATTATTATTATTATTATTATTATTATCATTATCATTATTATTATTATTATTATTATTATTATTGTTATAATTTACTGAAAATCTCTGTCTACTACACCCAGGGATAGCCTGGGGTTCGAAACCGGAACCTTGTTCAATATGAAATATTATTATTATTAACTTATATTTTCAATTAGTTACGCTTTTTCCCCGTTATCGTATATATAGTCTTTTTATGCTTCCCCCGATATCATATAATATATATACAATCTGTTTTGAGGATGACATTTCTATAATCCCTATCCTATCGGAAAGAAAATTGGCGTCCATAAACTATAGAATATGGGCTACATTTGATCTAAATCGGACTAGTATACTACAAGTTAGGAACATTAGGATTCATCTCATATATAATTAGATAGGAAAAGTATATTATAACATAATACTATATTGTATGAAATATGAAGTATCTCATATATTTTGATATATACAAGCATCCGGTTGCGAATACCAGAATGTTATTCGGATACAGTTTTGCAGTAGTCGAAGGCATTGGTGAAAAATCTAAAGAGATTGAAAATTGTAATAGATTGACAGCTTGTAACTATATAGAGACATGATGCACATGATGTTCCATGCGGATGAAGGATATTTCTTTAATTATTTGCCGGTCCTCCGGTTCGTTGTTGTGCAGATGTAGATAAGAGGCGGAAGGATGCTGCTCTGGCACTATTTCCATATTATTTATTTAGATGAATGGACAATACTAGCTCTGCCAGGATAACTTTTGACAGCCATCGGCCTTGCCGGGCTGGTAAGCTTTGATCCTTCTTGTTTGGGTTTGGTTTGGTTTGGTTAAACTTTTGGTTTTCCTTTCGGTTCTATTTCGTTTCACGTTTGGTTTCTTTTTCATAGATTGCAGCTCAGGCGCAATTTACTTTTGTTGAGATACTTTAGCATTTTGCACGCTTTGTATTGTACCCTGTGCTCGTGAGTATGCCTCACCTGCTGCCTAGCCACGCCCACTAATATGCGGTACACCCGCCCGTGCCCCCTCTTCGCCCCTTGTCCAAATGCAGGCCCTATTACGAGACGCGCGCCAACTACAACGGACTGCTGAAAGCGCAGAAGCTGCGCGTCAACGAGCTGGAGACGCGGGTCAGCGCGGCCAAATTGACCTACAACGAGGCGCTAAAGAATTTGGAGCAGATCTCCGAGGATATACACAGGCAGCGGCAGCAGCGCAACAATCTGCTCAACTACGAGGCAATGCTCAGGCAGGTGGACGCCGTCGATGCGCTCACAGCGGGCGTTACACGGCAGCAGCAGCCGGAGCCGGCAGAGTCGGATCAGGAGCAGGAGCAGGGGCAGGAGCAGCTGGAGGATGAGTATCTGCGAATGCCGGAACGATTAGGCAGCGGCGCCAGCTCGCCGCGCCAACGTCAGGCCGATCCGCACGACTGCCCGCATCTGCTGCATGACTTCGAGGCGGTGCTGACCTTTCCACAGAAGCTGGCCGGTGGCATGCACAAATCGGCCAGCACCAGTGCCACGGATGGCGACAACAATCTGTTCGCCCAGGCGCAGGGTCTGCATGGTCCCTACGAGGTGAAGCCGCGCTCCGAGTCCGGCAGCAGCTCACTGGCATCGGCATCGGCGTCGGCTTCAGCGTCGGCGTCCGTCTCAACGTCGGCGCCGCCAGCGGACAACGACATCGATCAGTGGACGGAGATACGGTTGTCGCACTCGGACAGCACCAGCTCAAGCTACTCGAATCAGTCGCTGCTGGAGCAGCACGGCCTGGATGGAGCCGGTAGCGTTGGCGGTCATGGGTTGGGCTACGGCCTGGGCAGCCTGGAGCCGGATGCGCAATCGCAGCACTCGACCTCATCGTCGGATGAGCCCAAGCGCAAGGTGACCTGCACAACCATATTTCAGGACGACAGCAGCGCCATTGGCATCGGCATCGGCCAGCAGATGAGCCGCAAGCAGAGCCTCAGTCAGTGGCTGTCGCGCTCGAACAGCTTCAAGACGAGCGGCCGCCGGCAGAGCCTTGATCTGCTGATCGATGCCGGCGACAAGGTGAAAGATGTCTTCAGCTATGGCTTTCAAAAGGTCGGACGGACTCTGGAGCGGCGCAACAGTGAATCCGAAATGGCCAGCGATGCCGGCGAGGCGGATGCCCTGCTAGCCTCAACAACAACAACAACAGCAACAACAACGACGACGTCAACGACGGCGACGGCAGCGGCAGCAGCAGCAGCAGCTATAAATGTATCCAATAACAGCAGCAGCAGCAGCAGCGCCGGCGATTTCTTTCTATTTAGCAGGTCAGTAGACGGCAATGGTCGCAGCAGCGGCGCCGGCAGCGGCGCCGGCAGCGGTGGCAGCAGCCTACTGTGCGCGCTGCAGAATCGTCTGACAAAGCTCATTTGATCTGATCGGTGCCACGGGAAACAACTCGATAATCGATAGTCGATAACCGATAATCCGATAATCCGATTTACTGCTAAACTGCTATTCAAAATTCAAACTGCACCCACTCTTTCAAAAAAAAAAAAAACAAAAACAACTACAAACTTCAGCTACTACAAGAACTAATCAGCTACTGCAATTAACCAAATTCCTCATGCTCGAACAAATAACGAATTGGCTGCTTTGATTTGGTGCATTTGCTCTTTGAAACACACTCCATTACAACCACAACAACAACAACAACAACAACAATAACAATCTACAATAACAATCAACTACTATAACTACAACTAACAGCATTGCACGCACGCACGCTTCTTCTAAAAAAAAAAAAAAAAGACAGAAAACAGAAAACAAAAGTCAAAAATCTACTCCTAAAATTTGTATGTACTGCAAATATTTAATTTATATATGTTTGTTTATGTGTGTGTGTGTGTGTGTATGTGTGCCTGTGTGCATTTTGGCGCCATGAAATAACTTGTACATATTTTATTTATTTTCAATCACTCTTTGAAAATGTATCTAGAATGTATAAAGTTTATACAATTCACACTTTTGATGTT